GGCTACAGGTGTGCGCATTTTCCTGCAGCCAAGCTGAGAAAAAAAGTGGCTTGTCGGATATTCGCACACAGGGAGTCGAACCCTGAACTTACCTCTGACTTTACGACTGGTCGGATTAAGGATAGAGGCGGTGTACCCTACACAATGTCCGATTTCTCTACATACAACTGGACCTGTTCATGCATGCGCTTTTTTCCGGTAAATTCTCAAATGAGCTGCTCCGGAGTCCTGCATGCGCTTTTGCAAGACAAATTCTCCAGAGTTTTTGTGTGTGCACTGATTGCGAGTCTCGAGCTACCTCGCTGAACGTCAACCAACGTTAACAGGATAAGCTGTGGGATGTCCCATTTCTCCTTACCTCGGAACCGCTACAGTGTGTGTTTTCCTGCAGCTAAGTAGAGAAAAAAAAAACTGTTTGCACCAGCCTTGTTATTCGAACACAGGGAGTCGAACCCTGAACTACCTCCAACTTTGCGACCACCCATGGAAGCAACATGTAAGGAAAGAGGCGGTGCACCCTACACAATGTCTCAATGTGCACTATGTCCGATTCCTCGTCCTCGGATCTGCTACCGGTTGGCTACAGGTGTGCGCGTTTTCCTGCAGCCAAGTTGAGAAAACAAGGCTCTTTGCCGATTATTCGCACACAGGGAGTCGAACCCTGGACTACCTCCGACTTTACGCATCCAATTTAAGGATAGAGGCGGTGTACCCTACACAATGTCCGATTTCTCTACATACGACTGGACCTGTTCACACACACAATTTTTTCCGGCAAATTCTCAAATGAGCTGCTCCTTCACGCACTTTTGCAAGATGTGTTTTTGTGTGCACTATTCCGAGTCTCGAACTACCTCGCTGAACGTCAATCAACAGGATAAGCTGTGCGATAGCCCGTTTATCGTTACCCCGGAACCGCTACAGTGTGTGTTTTCCTTAGTCTGATAGCAATCACGGTCCGATTGTTGGGCGACCGACTGATTACGCAATATGGTGGCTGTGCCAGCCGCGGCCAGTTCGCCTGTATTGCAGCGATGGGCCTCGTAAAAAATCCGGAAATATTTGTAAAGACTCCTGGAGCAAACTCAAACATTCTATCCTGCAAGAATCTCTCAATTCAGCCAGTCACTTCTCCAGAACAGGATCAGGCCAAAAAGCTGCTTATGTAAAATGCTTCAGAAAACTCAGCTTATATCGCAACAACGAATGAAGGAAATGTTGAAATCAAGGTAACCGCGGCCTTGACTCGGGAGATAGCAGTTGACCCTCGCAAACGCGCAGGGGATTCATTCGAGAACTACTAGGTAATATACAAAACTCGTCAGGAACCAATGTAACTAATAAGAGAAAGAATTAGAACAACTAGAGTATAAGTAAGGCACAAGGGACAAAATACGAAGTTGAACATTATAAATGCAGGAACTGAACATAGCAGATAATTTGTTGCCTTGCCGTGCCAGGCTGTGGCGTCGGAGATAGCGAGCGTAGGACTCGGAATTCCAACACACCCCCGCGAGTACGCAAGCGAGCTATCACCCCCGCAAACTCTGCACTGTGCACCCCCGCAAGATCACCAGGCACCTTCAGAGTCGGAGTCGCATTCCACCTCTGCAGCCATTGCGGCGGTCCCAACAATCCTCTTCCGCTTCGCAGCTTCCCAGGCAGCCTTCTCAGGGCAGTCCGACTTGAAGTGTCCCCGCTTGTCACAGAAGAAACAAGCAGTGAGCGCGAGATCGCGGCGAGCGGCGGTTACGGCCATAGCCTCGTCACCGGTGTTGTTGGTAAAGGAGGGCGAATCAGTGGATGAAGATTGGCGGGTTTCCTCGTTGAGCAGCCGAGTAATAACATGATTGACGGTGAGCTGCTCGGGTGGGGTCGCGTCGAAGTTAATGATAACCGCGTCAAAGGAAGGAGGAAGACCCATCGTCATCGCCAAGATTTGATCCTGTGCCGTCACTTCAATTCCACCGTGCTCCATCCGCAACACCAGCGTCTGAATACGCCCAATCCAAGCCTCCATCGTTTCGTCATCCTTTTTCTTCGCCGTCAAGAACCTGCGATGAAGCGCGAGACTGGTTGCAAAACCAGCAGCGCGATGCAACCTCTCCAAATTCTCCCACACCTCCATCGGATCGCGTGCCGTCATGTGCGCGAGCTGCCCATCCTCCACGGACAAAACCAACTCCGCCCGTGCCTCTGCCATCTTCACCACATCCCTCTTCGCAATCAATACATCTCTCTCTTTCTTCATCTCGTCTGCGCTCTTCTCCTCTCCATCAGCCTTCTTCTTGCTGACCAAAACTTCAACCATGCCCCAAAGTCCCTTTCGAACGAGAACAGCCTCCATGCGCATTGCCCATTCCGGATAGTTGGCGTTGCCGAGGCGAGGAAAGCGAACAGTGTCACGATCGGACATAGTGTGGGTGATGGAGCGTAAGAAGCGAAGGTGATAATCGTAACTCGGGTGCGTCGATGCCTCCGCTCAAGAGGACTTTTAAACTCTGCCTCCGCTCAAGAGGCGAACTCTGCTTCCGCTCAAGAAGCAACAAAGGGGGGGGATCGGATTAAGACCAAAGACCAACGATCGTCGACGAAGATCAATAGAATGGCGGCGAGCGAGCAGAACGAAGCTAGTAGGGTATGCTGCGCGTTTGTGTTGAAATCAAGGTAACCGCGGCCTTGACTCGGGAGATAGCAGTTGACCCTCGCAAACGCGCAGGGGATTCATTCGAGAACTACTAGGTAATATACAAAACTCGTCAGGAACCAATGTAACTAATAAGAGAAAGAATTAGAACAACTAGAGTATAAGTAAGGCACAAGGGACAAAATACGAAGTTGAACATTATAAATGCAGGAACTGAACATAGCAGATAATTTGTTGCCTTGCCGTGCCAGGCTGTGGCGTCGGAGATAGCGAGCGTAGGACTCGGAATTCCAACAGGAAATCCTTAGGTTTAAGGGAGGGGCCTCTGAATTGGAAGTAGATCTGTATGCTCAAATATTCTTAGATTTATCAGCGCGTCGAGGCGGAGGCAAAACGCGAGAAGGAATTTGATCGGTGGGCCAACAAGATGGTCGTGTTTGCTAACAGACCCTATATTGATACTTACTTGTTCGTCATCAATATAGGGTATCTGTTACAGAGACTATGTTTTCCTGCAGCCAAGTAGAGAGAAAAAACACTATCGCCGTCCATATATTCAAACACAGGGAGTCGAACCCCGAACTGCCTCCGACTTTACGACCCTGTGATTCCAAGGAAAGAGGCAATGTACCATATACAATGTCCGATTTCCTGTCTACCTCGGAGCTGTAGTGGGTGTAGGATTTTCTGTGGCGGTTGAAAAAGACAAGAAGAAGAAAAAACTATAATCACAGCCATGCCCCATTCGGACACAGGGAGTCGAACCCTGGACTACCTCCGACAACTAGTTCTGGACAAAGGATCAAAGGGGCGCACCAAGCCCGAATATATTGATTGTCTATGTATCTGGGTCCCGGTCTGTTGAAGCATGCAATATTAAATTAATTTCATGGGCGGTTGGACGCACGCAGCTCATTTCGAGTCAGACGCCAAGTAATGAGAACAGCCATACCAATTGTTGCCGACCACAATTCTCCAGACCCCAGCCGTTCAAAAACTCAACTTAAACTGCTTGTCCGCACTGGTGGGCAGAGCACCTCCGCCCAGGTTTGCTCATGGCGGGGGAATACTCGGTCTCATCTTTGCCGTGCGCGGACTCTGAGAATCCATATAAAAAAAACCACGCCCACTAGCACATTCAGACACAGGGAGTCGAACCCGGACTGCCTCCGACTAGCTCTTCATTTCGCATCCTTAAGGACCGAGGCGGTGCAACCGTACACCATGTCTGATTTCTCTACCTAGGACTGGACCTGCCTGTGTATGCATTTTTGCGGGACAAATTCTCGGACGCTTTACGTGCACTGTGTCGCGGAGCAAACCTCAGCCAGCACGGCAAGCCGAGATGCTCAATGTGCACTATGTCTGATTCCTCGTCCTCGGATCTGCTACCGCTTGGCTACAGGTGTGCGCGTTTTCCTGCAGCCAAGTTGAGAAAAAAGGTGACTCGCTAGGTATTCGCACACAGGGAGTCGAACCCTGAACTACCTCCGACTTTACGCATACGACTTAAGGATAGAGGCGGTGTACCCTACACAATGTCCGATTTCTCTATATACGACTGGACCTGTCCATCCATGCACATTTTTCCGGCAAATTCCCAAACGAGCTGCTCCTGTGGCATGCACTTGCGCAAGACAAATTCTCCAGAGTTTTTGTGTGCACTGATTGCGACTCTCGAGCTACCTCGCTGAAGGATAAGCTGTGCGATGTCCCATTTCTCGTTACCTCGGAAACGCTACAGTGTGTGTTTTCCTGCAGCCAAGTAGAGAGAGAGAAAAACCCTCCTTCGTCAAACATTCGAACACAGGGAGTCGAACCCCGAACTACCTCCGACTTTCCGACCGTGCACGTAAGGAAAGAGGTGGTGTACCATACACAATGTCCGATTTCCTGTCTACCTCGGAGCTGTAGTGGGTGTAGGATTTTCTGTGGCGGTTGAAAAAGACAAGAAGAAGAAAAACTATAATCACAGCCATGCCCCATTCGGACACAGGGAGTCGAACCCTGGACTGCCTCCGACAATTAGTTCTAGACAGAGGATCGAAGAAGTACACCAAGCCCGATTGATTGTCGTCTATCTGGGTCTCTGTCTGTTGAAGCATGCAATTTCGTGGGAGGTTGGACGCACGTAGCCCATCTCGAGTCAGACGGCAAGCCATACCAATTGTTGCCGACCACAATTCTTCAGACCCCAGCCCTTCAAGAATTCAACTTAAACTGCTTGTCCGCACTGGTGAGCAGAGTACCTCCGCCCAGGTTCGCTCATGGAGGGGGAATACTCGGCCTCATCTTTGCCGTGCGCGGACTCTGAGATTCCGCTATACAAAAAAAAGTGAAGGGAGTAACTACATTCAGACACAGGGAGTCGAACCCCGGACTGCCTCTGACTAGTATTGTCTTTTCGTTTCAGAAGGACCGAGGCGGTGTAACCGTACACTATGTCTGATTTCTCTACCTAGGACTGGACCTGCCTGTGTATGCATTTTTGCGGGGCAAATTCTCGAAGTGTGTCGCGGAACAAACCTCTGAGGAGCCAGTACGGCAAGCCGAGATGCTCAATGTGCACTATGTCCGATTCCTCGTCCTCCAATCTGCTGCCGCTTGGCTACAGGTGTGCGCGTTTTCCTGCAGCCAAGAGTTGAGAAAAAAAGGCTCTTTGCCGGTTATTCGCACACAGGGAGTCGAACCCTGAACTGCCTCCGAGTTTACGATTCGCTGGCCTAAGGATAGAGGCGGTGTACCCTACACAATGTCCGATTTCTCTACATACGACTGGACCTGTTCATGCATTCACTTTTTCCGGCAAATTCTCAAATGAGCTGCTCCTGCATGCACTTTTGCAAGACGTGTTTTTGTGTGCACTATTCCGAGTCTCGAACTACCTCGCTGAACGTCAACCAACAGGATAAGCTGTGCGATGTCCCATTTCTCGTTACCTCGGAACCGCTACAGTGTGTGTTTTCCTGCAGCCAAGTAGAGAGAAAAAAAAACCCTCCTTCGAGAAACATTCGAAGACAGGGAGTCGAACCCCGAACTACCTCCGACTTTGCGACCACGCATGGAATAAATATGTAAGGAAAGAGGCGGTGCACCCTACACAATGTCCGATTTCCTGTCTACCTCGGAACTGCAGTAGGTGTAGGATTTTCTGGGGCGGTTGAAAAAGACAAGAAGAAGAAAAAACTATAACCACAGCCATGCCCCATTCGGACACAGGGAGTCGAACCCTGGACTGCCTCTGACAATTAGTTCTAGACAAAGGATCAAAGGAGTACCAAGCCCGAGTGAGTGTCTATCTGGGTCCCGGCCTAAAGCATGCAATCTCGTGGGAGGTTGGAAGTGGAAGCGCAGCTTATTCCGAGTCGGACGTGAGAAGTTCAACTTCGACCGTTTCCCAAGTTGAACATTGAACCCGAGCTGCCTCCGGCCCACAACCGCTTCAAGAATGGATGACCAATTGGAAAAAGCAAGAAAATAAGAAACCGGTCGGGACATTCAGACACAGGGAATCGAACCCCGAACTGCCTCCGACAAACGGCTCCAATTCGAATTGATAGAGGTGGTGTAACCGTACACCATGTCTGATTTCCCTACCTATGACTCGACCTGCACCTGCCTGCACTTTGTGGGGCAAATTCTCAAATGTTTTTGTGTGCACTGATTCGCATGGCACCGGAGCCCCGAGTCTCGAGCTGCCCTGTGAACGTCAACCAAAAGGATAAGCTGTGCGATGTCCGATTTCTCGTTTACCTAGGAACCGCTACGAGTGTGTTTTCTTGCAGCCAAATCGAGAAAGAAAAAAGCAACCGTGCTCCCTCCATTCGGACACAGGGAGTCGAACCCCGAGCTGCCTCCGGCGCAGATTTCTTGGAGAAGATTCAAGAATCGAGGCGGTGTACCCTACACAAGGTCCGATTTCCGGTCTACCTCGGAACTGTGGTGGGTGTAGAATTGTCTGAGATGATTAAAGAAGACAAGAAGGGGAAAAAATATAATAACCACTGCCACCTATCCATTCGAATACAGGGAGTCGGACCCTGGACTGCCTCCGACAATTAGTTCTGGGTCAAGGACGCAGTACACCGATTTCTTGTCTATCTGGGTCCCGGTCTGTACGTGTTGGAGCATGCCATTTCGAGGGACGTTGGAAAGCTCGCGGCTCATTCTGAGTCGGATGTAGAAGTTCAACTTCAACTTCATCTTGACGTTGAACATTGAAATCAAGCTCTCACAGCCGTTCAGGGATGGAGGTGCAGCAGCCACCAATTCATCTCGTATCCGGGAGCTCGAGGATTTTTTGAGGCGAGTCTGAAAAAGAAATAAAAACACAGGAAACCCAGAAACTCAGACACAGGGAGTCGAACCCCGGCCTGCCTCTGACAAATGGGTTGAAAAATTACCAGTTATCGATAGAGGCGATGTAACCGTACACCATATCTGATTTCCCTACTTGTGACTGGACTTGCTCCTGCCTGCAATTTTGCGGGGCAAATTCTCAAAAGGTTGTCGTGCAGAAACTTGGACAGGAGTGGAACCACCACTCGCGATCGAGTTGCCTCGGACGAAGTTCCATCAGCAGGACATGCTGAGGCGCTCAATGTATGATTCTTTGTCCTTGGAAGTGCTACAGGAGCATTGAAAAAAAAAGCCATGCCCATCCATTTCGGATATTCGAACACAGGGAGTCGAACGCCGAACTACCTCCGATTGTGGTCGTCCATCTCACGAGCAACGAATGGAGGCGGTGTACCCTACACAATGTCCGATTTCTGGTCTATCTGGGAACTGCGCTGGGTGTGGGATTGTCTGAGATGATTAAGAGAAGAAAAAAACCAGCAAACATCCACATTCGGTCGCGGGGAGTTGAACCTCCGCTACCGCTACCTCCGGCAGCCCTGGACCAAGGACGGCCGTGCACCAAGTCCGATTGATTGTCATCTGTGTCCTGGTCCGCTGGAGGATGCCATCTCGAGGGAGGTTTGAGGGTGAGGGGTACAGCGTACATACCCGGGCTGGACCCGAGGGCCAACTTCAACCTTCCCGAGTTGAAAAATGAATCTGAGCCTCCGGCCCCACAAGGTTTGAGGTTGTTTCGTACAAGTCGGAAAAAAAAATGAGATGAAGGATCATGCATTCAGACGTGACAGGGAATCGAACCCCAGATTTCGATCCCAAGTCTGTACTGCAAGAGCTTGAGGATCAAGGGTAGTGTACCAAATACTACGGCCGACTTGTTGTCTATCTGGGAACTGCAGGAAGTTTGGGATATTTGAGGCGGATTTAAAAGCGCACGGGATCTCCTCATTATGAGCTACAGTGGGAGAAAAAAAGTGAATTACACCAAGCAAACTGAGAAGCGGGGAATCGACCCCGGTTTCAAAGGTGAAAGTCGGAGATTAAAACAAACACGGCGAGGACAAAACAAGGCCATTCCTGCAGTCGAAGCCCATGAGATGACAATGAAAAATGCTTGAAATAAGAGGATTGGCACAAAGTTTGCACCGCGTTGCCCTGAGGGTGGGTTGTCATCAGCGTGATTTGAGATTTCTGCTAATTCGAGAACCACCAGGTGCTTCAAGTTCCCCAGAGTTCAAGGATCCGAAGAGCGATTATGCGCAAAGAGCATGGCCAATTTCGGGGGAGAAACCGTTCGAGGATAAGGACACCATGTATAAATAAATTCAAGGGCCGCTGAGGGTAGGAACTGGTAGGAAGGTCAATAGACGTTTCCACGCGGCCATTGACAATCCCGCTTATGAGCGGGATGTTCCGGGTTTGCATGCTTCCAGACATAATGCAGCGCTGGCAAAGAGTTCAGGCAAGCAGTCTAAGCAATTGAATACCACGCGCCATCTAGCTCCGGCAGCCGGCGCTTCGCCGCGACAAAGGTTTCGGCGTCGCTCCAGTAATCTGTCCCGCGCTGGACCCCCGCATACCAGTCTTCGACCATATTCCGTCTGGGCATCAGCACGAATCGCACATCCCATGCAGGCTGGCCACTAGCGGCCTCCGGGTCCCACACCCTTGAATATAAAAAGGGTTCAAAGAAAGCCAGCACAAGTATCGCGCGCGACAGCTCGAGCATTTTGCGGGCTACGGGAACGAGGAAGTCGTCGTCGAACGCGAGATGCGTGAGCTGCGGGAGGGCCATAAGGAAGGCGCAGATGGAGCGCACGTCTTCCTCGACGGGATAGCCACCGAGGTGCAGGTGCGTCAGGTGTGGCAAGATGTTAGGGGAGGGTAGGAACGAGTACAAGTCGGTGGTTAGGCGTTTGAGAGGGAGAGCCCGGACGAGTGGGATCAGCGGGGCGTCTATTTCGAAGAGCCAGAGAAACTCGACGTTGGTGCACAAAGCCAACATTGCCTCGACGTCCGAGAGGGGGAACAGGATTAAATGGCGAACGGCACTGTTGAAGGACACGGGCGGCTCCAACCGACGAATGACGGAAGACATGTCAGTGAAGGAAGGGAGACCGGTTATTTGCGTGGAGTATCGATATCCCAGGATAATGGCGCGGTAAAGCAGAGGCTCAACCCTGCAAACGTGATATTCAGGCAGCGTTGAAGACCAAGACTGTACCGTACCACTCTTTGACGCGCTGCGCAACCAGCATGAGCTTTGGGATGCAAACAGGCCGAGAGAGAGCGCAGAGCTCGAAAATATCTCGTTCTAGCTCTCGAGGAAGTGTTGGCGAGCCTGAAGTCATGGTGGTTGAGGCTGCGAGGTGAAGTCGGATCAATGCGATCAAAGTCGCCCAGGCCTGGCCCATTGGAACTTGACACAAATGTTCAGAGGAAAAAAAATATGGCTGCAAAAACGATATATGTGCGCTTCGGAGCCAACGACAAGACTCAAATAATATATATGCAAGATAATTATATAATTCAGGGTCCCAATACCGAAGATTCTGAAGAACACCGTCGACCAACTTCTTTGGCACCGGCGGAGCCTGCTCCGGAACAGGGTGAGGTCTTGCAAACGCAGCTGCATATGAATTACCTACAAGTTTCACAACATCAGCCTTGGATGTTTAAAACAGGGGGAAAGCGCACGGCTATTCCATGCTGAGGGAGATGTAGCACGCATGTTAGCGAATAGGTTAATAATCCGAATGCTGGCTCTTGGTTCGGGCTGCATGGAGCGGTCGAGGGTGTTCGGTGTGGTCGCCTATAAGAAGAGCCGGCTGTGGTCGATGCATGGGTGAGACCACCAAGCGTTTTGTAACAGTTCAAGGACGCGGACAGAAAGACAGCATAGTTGCATGATTTCAAGGAACGCCAACGACAAGAAACAATCTCGGAGGACTACAAGGGAAAAAGCAGTATGCTCCTCATGATGGCGACTCCCAGAAATAATCCCGCGCTGCCAACGAATTCAGTCAAGTTTTGCTTGGAGTGATAAGTGATGCCACGCACGATCCAGCTCCCGCGTTCGACGTTCTGCGACAAAGGCCTCGGCGTCACTCCAGTAGTCTGACCCATACTGAATCCTTTCGGCCGCTGTTCTTACATACCACTCTTTGACGCGGTGTGCAACCAGCATGAACTTTGGGATGAATGCAGGCTGAGATAGAGCGCAAAGCTCAAAAAATTCATTTTCTAGCTCTGGAGGAAGGTCGGCGAACAGCTTGAAGCCGTGGTGGTTGAAGTAAGGTCAGTCACATCGGTCACTCTGTCACAGGCGAAAATTCCCTAATTCAGAACAAAAGTAGTTGGCATTGCTTTCCATTTTGTCCAACTTTGTTTATCTGTTGGCGCTCATGGACTCTGGTCTACCTTCCTACCTCTCCTTGGCAGACAAGGACGACTATGATCTGGACGAGATCTCGACCGAACGAACCTCCGCTGTCGCAGCTCGACGTACTCGCAGTACAATCTGCTCCGAGTCCATGTGCCCCCCGACTCGCTTTGAAACCCGTTACGAATAGAAATCTATTCAAATATTCGCCCGGACATAGCACCAAAGCCCACTCACGACACCAACTCACCAATCCTGTATGAAACACAATGGTTACCTTGCGTGCAATTCACGGCTGCTATTCTAACTGCTTCCGCCGATAGGCTGTACACTGAGGGCGACTCGGACTTTCACGGAGAACGAAGGGCATAAGGAACTCGATACAGCACTTTAGACTCTATGGGAGCCATGATATTTACACTCAGGATATCGGACCACGGGCAGGGAACCAGCTTTCATGCTACGACCATTCAGGTTTTTGCGATGGACTCTTTTCTACCTCAGCTGCCGTGCCATCGCTAGCAGCGATGCTATAGCAATCTGATCCAGAGTTTTCCGTCTCTTGGGCTCTTGAAAACATCTGGACTGCCTATCATCTATCATCTTGCTCGCGTCTACCGCATTACTATCCACCATGAGCACCACGGACACTATCCTCCAAAACACCGCCTACCACGCGCGCCTCCTCGCCGCGCTCGCCTCGGTCGACCACGCCCCGCCCGCATTAGTCCAGCAGGACACCTACATCGCGGGCCTGGAGCGCCAGGCGCGGGAGTCGGCGGCGCGGATCGCGGAGCTCGAGGTGCAGACGCAGAAGGAGAAGGGGGAGCACGAGGCTCTGCGTGACTCGGTTGCGCGGCGGTTTGCGGCCACGATTACGGGGCGGAGGGAGAGGTACGAGGCGCGGGCGAGTAAGGAGGAGCGGTGAGCGCTTTTATGGATAGAACTTGAAATAATTCGCGCGGAGACTGATCGTGAGCAGGGAGTACGTCGAGGCGCTGGAGAAGGAGATGCAGCATAAACGGCAGCATGCGACGCTCGGCGCCATGCTCGAAGAAGCCAAAGCGGTGGTGCGTCGTTCCCCGATGCTGTATCCACTCGCTCTCTAGCTAATTCACTCCCGCACACACAGCGACACGACCTGCAGGCCAAGGTTGACGTCTACAACCAAACGAAGCAAGAACTGTCCACGCTGTACCGGAGGATCTTCGACGGCCCGACCCAGGCGTTCCCGGAGGACGACGAGCTGGAGTATCAGCTTCAGCAGGCGCAGGCTCGGTACAGCGAGATTCAGAGCTGCTTTGCCCCCGAGGCGCAGGCGCTGAGATTGCTCCGGGCCGCGGACGCGGCGCTGCAGTTGTGTTCCGCGCAGGTGCAGGAGGCGACGAGTGACTCACACTGGGGCAGGTGTGGTACCCTTTGCCCCTGTACTCGTACTGACGTTCTGCACAGACATGTTGGGTATCTTCGGCCGGTAGGTGCTTCTTCGCATTTACAGTTACTCAGCAAGGTCTCATGTGTATGCAGCGCGGACGACAATCTGGAGCGCCACGAGCTGCGAGTTGCGCAGCGGCATGCGACGCAGGCAGAGATGTTCGTCCAGCAGGCGATGATGAGCTGCCCCAATGTGCAGGCCGTCGGCGAAATCACCATCGCTCACGGGTGGGTTATTTTCCCGCTTTCCCCCCTTGCGATGCATTCTT